CGGCACTGGCTGGCCGATGGAATACGGAGGAGGCCTAATCTATGTGATCTTATTGGTCGCAGGGAGGTAATTGGCAGGAGGCGGTCTCTCTTTCTGGAAGACTTTCTTCCAGTCCTTAAGATGGCAGAAAAGTATGTTGGCATATTTTGCACAGCTCTTGGTCTCGATTCTATTTCCAATTAACAAAGACAGTATACAGTTCTTGATGCTTGGCACAAGAATGGAATTGGTGGTATCTTGTGACTTTGCTTAACCCTCAACAAATATTAGTTATTGGGAAAACCACTCCCCTAAACTTGGGATGGGGGTGGGAAGGAAGGGAGTTTTGACAGATGGCTGAAGTGGTGGGTTTAGGTCATTTGCCAAAACAAGAAACAAAAACCCACTGGTTTTGTGCATGTCTTTCATGAAGGTTTGTTCATCTAATAGCTCCATTTCACATGAGTTTAGTGCTATTCTGAAATAGCATCCATTTGAAATAACTTGATTCTGGAGTAGCACTAAACTCGTGTTTACAAAAAAAAATATCCCTCATGTAGAGCAAACAGCCTGTCAGAGTCGGTAGCTATCCAGTCAGCACACAAGTAAATAATTCAGCGGGATTCATTAATAGAAGAAACTTCTTAATATACAATAATATAAAACATGATGCATATACACAATACCCATGCAGCTCTTGTAACGCGGTAGAGAGAAGTAACAAGGACTAGAACTAGAAGCAAGGAGGCAGAACACTCAAGCAAAGACAAACGAACTCTTATTACATACACACAACAGTTAAGTTAAGCCACACCCTGGCTCCAAACTATCTCATGGCTCACAACAAACCCTGTGTCTCAGTCACCAAATAGTTCCCATTGGCTGACTTGTTGTTATGACTATTCCAGTTCTTATACACTGACAGAGCCTCAGTTTTGGCTGATAAGAGATTGATTTTGTGCTTGTCGAATGTATAACTGAGGATCAACAGGTAGAACTGATGGGGATACACACAAAATGGGTGGAAGTGCCAAAGAAGCCACTGAAACTGAATCAAAGGATTTTCGCCAGTTTTTTTTAAAATCAATTTTCAAAGCCTGGTCAGCTTTATACTCTTGTCTAATTTCACAGCTGGAGGACTTGTAATAGCCCTGAATAATGGAGAGGTCTGGGGAAGAATAAGATGACCAAGGCCATCACATTCTCCTTATCCCCACTCCTACGTGCATATACCTCTGAGCACTACCACTCTTCAACAAATATTATTTTTAAACAACTAGGATACCCAATGGCCACTTCAGAAAACATCAGGCATTATGTGGGCAGATTTCTTTGCAGAATCTAGTTGCTACAGTGGTCCAAACCAAAATGGCCCCAGAGGACCATTTATGTTATGCTTGCACCAGCATACAATAGCCAATAAAAACTATGCAAACCCCAGCTCTGGACTGCCTTGTCAATAAGTTATCACAGAGTAGAACTTATGTCAGAACAAAGGGGGAAACGCTATTTTTAAATGGAGCAGTTGAAGGTGAATTTAAACTGCTTCAGGACAGGACAAAGCAATGCCATAAAGATACATCCTTAACCTTCAAAGTGTAGTTAGGATACATGGTTGAGACCAAGGGATTTTAACATAACATTTATGGAGATTATACCATATCTACTTATCTTAGCTCTTTGTCTGCACCCAAAACAGAGCAGATGCTGGCAGAACTGAAAGATAAATATTAACCCATACAAGTCATTTGTATTCTAATCCCTTACCTGTTCTTTGCTTTCTGGGAATGCAGAGCCTGATGCAAAGGGCATCAGAAGATGGCTGGGTGGAATCACAGATTACTGCGTTACAGTGGAAGTAGACCTGAACAAGAGACAAAAATCACCAGGCATCACAAAATAGTTTGAGAGCATGTTACTAAAGAACATGGCAAACTACAGAAAATATAGAAAATACTTCTTGTCTCCTTAGGAAGAATGGAATTCGACTGGTTTTAAAATAAAACTGAAGTACTCTGGCTTTAACACAATATTGCAGCAATATGCTTGAAAAAGTTCATAACTTAGAAAAACGATATTATTGTCATACAACATCTTTGGTAGGGAAATAAAGACAATAATGCTATTAGAGCAGAATGCTGGAGGAGAATCTTATCAATGGAACTGTCAACTACCCTGATATACCATCAGTAGGATCAGCTTATCAAATTTGTAAGATCATGAAATGTCATGTCAAAAATTACCCAAATAACTCATAAAAGCAACCCTTACCTGTCCTTGAACAGCTTGATTATTCACCACAAATGTAAACATTTTCACTTCAAACCTCTTCAGGTGTGTAGGGAATGGGACAGAAGTGTTGGGGACCTCATGGAAAATGGTCTGATGTGAATCTGCTGTATTCTCACAACTAGCATATAAAATTAAAAAGAATCATTTGATATATATCTACATGTATACCTGAACATATGCATGTACACACACATACACACACACAGAATTCCTCTCTTAGGGAGATGGGGAGAGAGAGAGAGAATGAATCCCTCTCTCAGGGACACAGATAGTTAAGAATTATTAAATAGAAATAAAATAAAATACATAACTCATGTATTGCTTCTCAACAAAACTATAGCTGTAAGATCCAGCCTGTGCCAAATTAAAGACCAGAAAGACCACTTTAGATTATGCCATGGAGTCCAATATTAGTGCAACTTCTATCAGTACAACTTCAACCATAAAGAAACCTTTGCATCGGACTGATGAGGTAGAGAACTCATACTGGATGATATAGTATTAAAGCTCTAGAAGGTACACCATCAAGCTCTATCTTGAGTTTTGAGCTTATGGCAAGAATTGCCAATGTGTCTTTCAGTTTTTAGGTGACTGAATTATTGAACATAAAATACTGCAGATGGTACAAAGTGTTATATTTTGCTATGACTTGGAAAGTTTTTACAGGTCTTTCACTCCCTAGCACCGTGATGGCAAATCTGTGGTATGCGTCAGCTCTGGCGCGCCATCAGCCGTCAACTCTGGCATGCATACATGCAGACCAGCTGATTTTCAGCCCTCCAGAGGGCTGGGGGAAAGCCATTTTCGAGAAAAGGGAGAAAAATGGGCCCAATGGGCCAATCAGAAGTTCAGAAATGATCCGTTTCCGGCTTCTGGGGGGCCTCCGGGAAGGCCGGGGGAGGCCATTTTTGCCTTCCCCAGGCTTCAGGAAAGTCTCCAGAGCCTGGGGAGGTTGGAAAAACTCCCCCACACACAGGAGGCGGGTATCGTGTGTGCATGCGCAGGTGGGCAGGACACATTGAATTGTGGGTGTGGGCACATGCGCGTGATAGCACACACGCACGCAATTTTGGCACACAAAATTTACAAATCTTTACAAAAAGATTCGCCATCACTGTCCTAGCATAACCTATGCTGCTTTCTATGCAGGCTTTGTCAAACTGCCTTCTGCAACAACTCCACTCACAATGTAAGTGGCAAAAGACCTCCAGCCCACATTTGAAACTGGTACCTGTCAACCACTATGTGCCATTGTGGAAAACTGTTCCTGTCAGCCTTTGCAGTAGCCCAGCAGTTCTCCAGAAACAACTCCAGTTGTGGATCTTGGCTGTGAAGAAGTTCGACCTGAAAGTAGAGAGGCTCTCGCAAATAACGGCTTACTGGATACTCGGTGGGTTGGTAGAAATCTCTGTAGGTCTGGTCTGCAGAAAAATCAGATGGAAAACAAAAGAAAACAATTATTAGGACCCCAGTATTCAAAACTAATTTATTCAATTTAAGAATCAGTCTTCATCCCCAGCCTAAACTAGGATTATGTATTCTACTCTGATCTGCTTATTAGCCCAAGGACTGTATTAGCACAATGCAACTGACATTTTAAGCCCAGATCAGACAACTGGAGTGGAGGCAAAAGCATCTCTAGAGTCAGAGCTATTGCTATCATTAGTGAGAAAACCAGGATCGGAATGATTTTATAATTGATTCAACTTCTATAAGTTGAATTCAAGAAAGAATGTTATAAAAATTGCTATTAAGGTAATTAAACAGTAGCAACTGAAAAAATGTGTGTTACAAGACTGCTCGCTCTGTCCCCAATTAAAGATTTTGTGATAGGGCTGAAAGATCTAAAACTCATGCTATGCCAGCTATGCCAATTAGATCAAAACTAATTGTTTATTGTTAACCCAAAATACAGCCAAGAGATGTTCTTGGCTGCTGCCACATGCTTAGATTGGGAGGAGGAACAGACAAACGAAACAATAAAACTGAACCCTGTTTTGCTGGATGACCTGGTATGCTCCCTTCAACTGATAAACGTGACACACGAAGTTGATTCAAGTCTAAACAGCCCAAGTTTCAGGACTCAAGTTCGCAATTTCCTAACAATATAAAAATTCCCAGTGAAGCCGAGAGAGCAGTGGAAATTCATGAGTGCTCACTTAGATACTTGAGACTCATCAAAGATGAATCCCACATTAAGTTGGAAATCTTCTAGGACCCAGTTTATTATAAATGAAGCTTACAATATTTAAAAATAGATTTGGCGAGATATTCCATTCTTTTTAAAGTTGGACTTTTTTAAAAAGGTAAATACAAATGTTTGTTTAAAACTACAAGCAACTGTTGCTTGTACTTTTGCATTCTTCCTCTCCATCCAGCAAGAAAACTTCAAGACAATCCCTGCCTTCAAATTAGTGCAAAATTCAAGTTAGAAACCATTTCTCATGCTGGTAGCCGATACGACAAAATACAGTGCCATAATTTTATTGATTATGGTCTTAGATTTGCTATAGGTGACCCCTCTGCTTTGAAATTACCTCTGGCAAGTTTAAGGGCAAGTTCCAGTTGCCCAGTCCCAGGCAGTATGGTTGGCGATGGTGGTTGTGCAGGGCTGTACTGGAACAGCAGCGTATTTCCAATGAAGTACTGGCAAGCACATTTCAACCTTGGAAAGATAAAGTTTGCCAACAAAAGAGCCTTCGTTAATTCACCCAAGCTCACCAAGAGCTCCAAAATTTTAGCTTCTCTCTTTTCACATTTTGGGGAAGAAGTTGATGCACATCGGAAATCCAGGGCAGCTTTAGTTGGTTATGTTGAAGACCCATGTCTGCAGAGTAGTGGTGGATTTCAAAATTTTTTAGAACCTCTTCTGTGGGTATGGCCAGCTTTGTGGGAGTGGCTTGCCAGCCATGTGACTGGGTGGGAGTGGCTTTTGGGTTTCCGGTCCCCAAGAGCCGCCCCGCGGGAAGTTCGCGCACGGCCTCGGACTTCGGGGG